TGCATGTTCAGTTTTGGCTTGTGGCTTTTTCTTCATATCCCCTCTTGTCTTGGACAGGATGCGGAGCTGCTTCCACTGGTTAGTGACCCCCTACACAGACCATTCACCATGCTGTGGCCCACAGATGCTGCATTTAACGCCCTGTCAGAGAAAAGGCAGAAGTGGCTGTACCGCCGAGAGCATCGGGACGTGCTGGCCTCCTACCTCAAAGCACACATGATCAGGGACACAAAGGTAAATGTGACAACAAACAGGCTCGTACCTCCTGAGGCCATGTGTGGTGCCACCACCTGCCTATGGTTATGCCAGAGCGACCTTGCCAAATATTTTGCTGCTATAAAACATGCAGCATGTTAGTTGTCTTGAGAAGACCCAAAGCTGTTTGAGCATTTGAGACAACTACTGCTTCATCACGAACCTCTGGTGCAGTGTGGCTGAGCTGAAACGTTCTGTCATCAGCTTCATGGGGAGGCCACATCATCACCAGAGTGTCAATACAAGGCTCACAAACAGGCTCTTGTCTATAGGGTGATGAACAAGGGAAGTCCAGCTGGCAAAATCAGGGCCTGCTGATGCACACTGGTCTCTCACTGTTCAGGAATCTGGGACGAACCCAGCATAGTTAGGCTGTTCCACCCACGCTGGCTTTACATGCTGCCACGTCAAACCCCCTCTCAGTGTGGCTGCTGACCCCTGTCCTCACCAGGCACCATTCCATTAGAAGTATGAACTTCTAGTTTTGCCTGTCTCTCCCTTCACATTCTTCTTTTTCCCTCTTAGATTGTTGCTGGTAATGTGCCCCAAGTCGAATCCATACGGACCATGCATGGCTCCACCATCTCATTCAGCTGCAGCAAAACCCATGTGGTGAGTGATGGCAATGCTGCGCTCGGCTTTCCACGGAGCAAGTGTCCCTGGGCATAGCCATGGGGCAACTGACGCTCCGTGTTGGTCACTGGTAGGAAGTGAACACAGAGTTGGGGTGCTTGCAGGCTGAGACACCGCATTCCCCTGGCTACAGCTGAGCCTAGGGAGAGACTTGAGACTCTGTGGCCAGCTGGCAGGGAAGTGCAGAGGCATGTGGTACCTGCAGATGTACTTCATGATGACCAAGTTGCAAAGCCAACCACGTGGTGCCATGACCTTTACAGAGCATGTGTTACATGGACAGAGGCCAGTTCTTAGGAGAGATGGCCGTGAAAAGTGGCAATCGGGAAGGGTGGTCAAGGACATGAGCACAGATTTTGGAGAGTTCTTGGGGTGATTGAGAAGTCATGGCAGCCAAAAAGGGCAACTTTTGGGTGGTGCAGCCAGAATGTAGGATGTGCCAGGATCACAAATTGCTTTCTTCCTCTGTTAGGGGGAGCTTCTGGTAGGGAACGGCGATGCCACCATCATCCAGAGGCACATGGAATTCAATGGGGGCATTGCTTATGGCATCGATAGGCTGTTGGAGCCACCGGATCTGGGATCTCGGTGTGATGAGTTCATCTTTGTTGAGCTGCAGGTGAGCACTTGTGATGAGGCCAGTGAGGATCTGTGCCACCTTTTGAGCCTCATGCCTGGGAAGAGGGATGTCGGGAGGGCTTGCTGCTCTTCCTTGGCAAAGCTCTGAGCAGCTGAGAAGCAGAAGCTTATATTGAGTTGTTGAGGTTTCTTTTCTCCCCTCCGCAGGGATCTACAAAGAGCTGCGCACTCTGTGGCTTCGAGCCACCCTGCCCTGCTGGCTCCGTTCAACGGGTAAAGCTCACAGCTTTATCACCAAGGCCTGTTATGGGGCTGATGACAATACCCACACGCGCCTCGTGTTTTAGCAGCAAAATGAAGGCACACCTGCATGTGGCGAGTCCCTTGGCTTGGTTGCATTGTCCATGCCTTGCCCCAAGTCACACAGTCCCGTAAGGCAGGAGCTGGGCTGAACAACATGGGCTCAGGGGCTCCAGTGGTCTCTGCTTGGTCAATCCCTATATGGGTGACAGTGGCTGCGGGGGTCCCTGCAGCAGCACTGGGGGCTTCTCTGGGTGCTTTATAACAAAAGAGCTCAGCCTGGCTGCTGGAGATGGACCAGGGATCAGATGGTGAGCAGCCTTGGGGGGCAGTGGTTGTACCACACTCTCACTGCATCACCCATTGTCTCTGTGTCGGGCTTCTGGCACATTCCTGAGGTAAATCTGTGGCTCCTCTGTCACCAGCCCCATCGCATGTTAGGAATCGCATATTACTTGTCATAAAACTGAGTGGCACAAGAAAAGTCAAGGTGAGATGTCAGTGACCGATGTGGCAAACTCTTGTGTTTTGCCTGTTTCCTTGCAGGGGGAAACGAGGCGCTGCTACTATTATGGAAACCAGCTGTTGAGAAACACTTTCTTGTTTCACCGCAACTCCCTGTTGCGGCCGTCCTGGCCACCGTCCCCGTGGGACACCTTCAGAAGACACTGGGAGCCTCTGAGACGAGGCTGCAAGAGGAGCTGCGTTTCCGCCCAGTGGGTCCCTCAATGCTGTCCAAACCACTATGGCCGTGACTGTCGGGGTACGGAGCCACGGGACCCTTTCCTGCCTTGGCCCTTTCTCTTGTGGGAAGGTGGCATTACTGGTTCAGCACAGATGTCTGGTATCCATGAACGTGCTTGCCTGGAGAACGGTGGGCAAAACCCCAGGCAGGGAGCCCCAGTCTGTAGAGGGCACAGGGAATGATCCCCTGGGACTGCGTGTGGATGGTATCATAACAGGAAATTCCCTTTCCTTGGAGAACTGCTTGTCCCCATGGAGAGCCCTGGGTACAGGGCTGCTGGGGGTGCCTGTCAGACATGTCACTCACCCCTAGACGTTGCCGATGCTCAACCATTGCCTGCATCTGCCCTCTGCGCTTCATCTATGGGCAGCTTGCATGTCCTTGGATGAGTCTGCTGCCAGGTTAGCATGGGGTGGGCCAGCACAGTCTCAGCATATTGCAGCAGAAGGTCTTCCCAGGCTGGAAGCTATGCCAAATTTGTCCCTGTTGCCCCTGTTCCTAAGTTTTATTGTCATGGGATGTCCCCAGCACTCACTACTCCCCAGACTGCTGAGCAGGCGCTGTGGTCCGAGCACCCCATAAGCGGCAGCTCACATGGCACCTGGTGTGCAGGCTCTGCATGGGGCAGCGGGTGGCTCCCCTCCAGCACAGGGTCACTTTGTCAGCACAGCCTCACTAAGGTGCCCCATTTGCAGCGTGCCCAGGAGGGCTGGAGATGCCATGCAATAACCGTGGTACCTGTGACGACAAAATCGGTGGCTCAGGGAGATGCAACTGCAGCCAGGCTTTCATCGGGACCAGCTGTGAGCTGTGTGCACCAGGCAGATACGGGCCAGACTGCCGAGGTAAGACTGATTCCGTCTGTGGGGTGGCAGCAATGCAGAGGGTCTGTGTGGAGGTGGCTGCGGCACGTGGTGCTACTTGGAGAGGGGGTGGGTGCTGGGCTGACCTCTTTGCAGCTTACAGTACAGGAATCAGTGCTGCCATGTATACCTCAGTCCCAATAATGCTCACGTCAGACCTCTGGGGCTCTCCATTGGCTCTCGGTAGGACAGCCATTTGGGCAAACATAGTTTTCCAGCTGTAGTTTGAGAAGGCCAGGTGGCCTTCTGTGCCGAGGCCTGGGGGTCAAAAACTCCTTCTCATTTGTCACACACAGCTGAGAGCCCCAGTCTGGCAGAAAGTGTTATGACATGTTTTGGGCTGGGGGACAAATCTGTAAGTCGTGATGAACCCTGTACAGAAAGAGCATCTCCTGGGACGTGCTCAGCAGGGACCTGTGCCCCGGTGAGGCAAAGGCAAAGGGACGGAAAAGGCGGGTTCCCTGTTCCCCCATCACAAGCTGGGCTTTATAGGGTCTCCAGGAACGTTTTTGATGGCTGTATGGTTGCAGGGACTCAGAGTAAAAACCACATCTCTAGAAATGCCATGGGGAGGTGAATGATGAAGGTTTGTGGGTGCAGAGAGGCTTCCCCTCCTCTGTGAAGGGTGCATGTTGCGGGGAGGGGCAGGGCTGGCAGCGACAGGAAGGGATGTGTGTGTACTGCTGTGCCTGCCTTCATGCACTGCTCACACAAGCCATGTTTCTGCCACGTGGCTGTCCCATGGCCTGAGCCTGGACTTTCACTGCCACCAAGGCAGATGCCGTGACAGTGTTTTTACCCATTCCTCACAGAGTGTAACTGCACCGAGAATGGCGTGTGCAACGGAGGACTACATGGCGATGGCTTCTGCTTCTGTGCCGAGGGCTGGACTGGAGACCGCTGCGAAATCAGACTAGGTAGGGGATGCCAGGCCTCACCACCCACTGTTCTCTGTGACTCAGTGCCATGTGGCTACTTTCCCAGCAGCTGGATTGTTCAAGCAGCCACTCAGAAATATCTCCAAAAAAGAGCTCCCAGTTGTGGGGTTCATTCTGGCCCTTGCTGTTGAATTTCACAAGGGTTGGGGTGGTGAGGAGGAGGAAAGCTGCACTTGATCATGAACAAGTCCTTGAGCTCAGAGATACTCCACGAAGAGCTTGAGGGTGAGCTGAAGGCCTGAGGCTTATCTGAAGGAGTAAGTCCTCTGCGTTTGGGCGAGACATCTGCAGAAAAGCACAGAGGGAGAGAGGGGGCAGCATGGGGCAGGTGGCCTGGGGTAGAGGCTGGTGATGGCAGCTGTGCCCATGTTGCAGCCCTTGGATCATTCTGACCTGTGTGTGTTCTGGTTTCAGTCATGACACCTACCTGCTCTCCACCGTGCCACCCCCAGGCCGTCTGCCGCTCCGGCAACCTCTGCGAATGCAAGCTACACTACGAAGGAGATGGAAGAACATGCTCAGGTAGGGGGAAGCCACGAGGGGCTGGGGTGGAGGGGTGGTGAGTGAAGGAGAAAGCGGACAACACGGCAAGAAAACAGGTGATCAGCTCTGTGGAGGATGACTGTATTGGTGGGATGGCTGGCAGGACAGACAGACAGACCACCAGGACACCTAGCGAGGTATTTTAGTTAACCTAACACTTTTATCCCTGCAGTGATCGACATGTGCAGCCAGGACAACGGGGGGTGTGCCAGGCACGCACAGTGCACGCAGATTGGCGTGAACGTCTCCTGTGCCTGTGCTCCTGGGTATGGAGGTGACGGCTATGTCTGCGACCCCATAGACAGGTGTGCGGACGGTCGGAATGGGGACTGCAGCCAGCACGCCAACTGCATCAGCACCGGGCCGGTGAGTACATCCCCGAGGTCCGGGGAGACCTGTATGCCTGGGAGAACAGTGCAGGTGGCTGCTGTGGGATGCTTCAGGCTGCTGGAGGACAACAGTGTGACGGTGTCCCCTGTTGTAGTCCCCAGGCCTGCCCCTCCTCTCCGGTCCCCTCAGCTATTGAGTTCATCTTGCAGGTCCTTACTGCCAGGCAGGGGCCATGCCCTTGGTCTTCTGCCTGGCTGTGGTGATGGTCCTGGTAATGTTATGCTGAGGCCATTTTCCCCCATTCGTGTCTAAGGGGCATAAGCTGTGTCAGTTGTGGCATTTCTGGACTGTTTTGGGGGCTCCAGGATGGTCCTTTGAGGACAATGCCGGACATTTTTGTAGAGGAACCAGAGCTGCTCACTGCAGGCGAGAAGATGGGACTGGGAGCATGATGTAGTACAAGAATCATGAGCCGTATACCTCAAAGCTCAGTGGTCTTTCAAACAGTATGTGACAAGGATTCAATGTGACAAGGATTCAATGTGACATTTTTTGGTTCATGTGCAGTGAGATGTGGGGGCAGGACAGAGGCCATGAGGCCTTTCATAGCTCTGTCATAGTCCTGACAGGCTGTAGAGGTGTTCTGAAGGCTCATTCCCATCTTCAAAGGGATACAAGGCTCCCCAGCTGGTATCTGTGTGTTTGCACTCACACAAATGCCATCCTTCCTTTGTGCTGCAGAATGAGCGGCGCTGTGAGTGCAAGCGGGGCTACATTGGTGATGGGATCCAGTGCCTGGAAGAGGCCGTGCCCCCGACGGACCGGTGCCTGGAAGACAATGGGCAGTGCCATCGGGAGGCCATTTGCACCGACCTGCACTTTCATGGTGAATGTGCTCAACCCCGCAGTGCCAGGGGTGATGTTCCACGGAGAGGTCACACTCTCTCATCCTTCTGGCTGGGGCACCCCTTGGGAGAGCTGGAGGGTGGGATGGCCAAGGGGCCGGGGACTCGTTTCTGTAGCTTCATCTGGTTTTCACATTCCCCTTTTCCCCTACGTGTAATATGGGGAGGATGAGCCATCCTTGTCTGTTCCTGTGTGCTGTGTGAGATGGCCTCTGGTGGGATTATGCTGCCAGTAAGCACTGACTCCCTCATGGAAGGCGAGAAGCTCAGCGGAAGCCGTGCTGCAATCCCACCTCACCCTCACTTGAGCATTGTCCACATCCCACCCTCCCCTTGGCGGTGCTGTCTGTGCTCACACAGGGGACTCGTGCAACTCCCCCAGGGAGGCTGCTTGCTTTCTATACTGTACTGATGCTCCCTGGCCTTGGTATTTTGCAGATAAGACTATGGGTGTATTTCATCTGCAGTCACCCCGAAAAAAGTATGACTTCACTTACGAGCAGGCTCAGAAGGCCTGTGCTGCAGAAGGCGCTTCCCTGGCCACTTTCCAGCAGCTCTCGGCAGCACAGCAGGTCAGGGCAGGGATGCAGAGGTCGGGCAGGGGCTGGCTACATCGCCTTGTGGGATAGGGACATGCAGTGCTTCTCCCCAGGCCCGGGCCAGCAGTAGCGAGCCCATGATGTGAGGGTGGGTGACCGCTCATCCCCTTGACCAGACCCTGTTTGCTCCATCTACGTCCATGAAACCAGGAGGGCTTGCCAGTCACACTGGGACGAGACCTGTGGCAGTGCCTAACCCCCTAGGTGTTGGGGGATGTTGGTTAAGGCTGCATGATGGGAGTGTGCCTCAGGGCAGAGGCATTATTTTTAATCTAATAATTTGTTTTCCTCTGCTAGATGGGATTCCATCTGTGCTTGGTGGGTTGGCTGGACAATGGCACAGCTGGATACCCCACAGCCTACCCCAACCCCAGCTGTGGGGGTAATCGAGTGGGCATCGTGGACTATGGCTCCCGAAGCAACCTGAGCGAGACCTGGGATGCGTTCTGCTACCGGGAGAAGGGTGAGCGGTGCAAGCACATTTCCTGGGGATGGTCCTGTCGGGCACAAGAGGTGTGTTGGGGCAGCAGGCAGAGAACTGCCCTTGGAGCACGAGGCATGGGCAGGTGGGCACATCTCCCTCTCCCTGTGCCTGTGTCAGGAGGGAACATGCTGAGGGGTATCTAGAAGTGAAGGGAGAGGTGGTCAGTGTAGCCAGCATTGGCGAGTCAAGCCGCACCTTGGTGTTCCTTTGCAGATCTGACTTGCGCCTGCCGTGATGGGTTCGTGGGAGATGGGTATTGGTGCAGCGGCAAACTCCCCGATGTGCTCGCAGACCACGCTCGCTTCTCCACCTTCTATTCTGTAAGCGATGCTCTCCTGGTTCTTTGGTATGCCAGCAGGTGGCAACAAGGAGGAGGGAGGGATCGGCAGTAACAGGGAGAAGGTGGAAAGAGAGTGCAAACACAGAGGCATTTTCTTTCCAGGGCTGGGGGATGTTTCCTGGGCTGGGGAAGGTAACAGCACTGAGCTGCCAGCAGGGTGCTGATGGGGAAGATCTCCCATCTTTTCCAGATGTTGCTTGATTTTGCCAATGACACAGAAGAAGGACTGGATTTCTTCATCTATTTGTCTGATGACTCTGCTCCCAAAACTCTCTTTGTCCCTCTGAATTCTGGCTTCGCAGACAATGAAGTAAGCAAGCAGGGATGAGCGGCCGCTCCAGGGCACATGCAATGAACTACCAGAGGCCCAGCAGAGAGCAGGGATCCGCTAAAGCTGGCCTGATGGTGATGTGAAATGGAGTCTGGGAAAGGAGGAGGAATTTATGTCAGAGGGGGCTGCTGGAGGTCTCGTCCAACCCCTCACTCAGAAGAACCATTTAGGTCAGGTTGTTCAGAGCCTTCTCCAGTTGAGCTTTGACTGTTTCTAAGGATGGCAGTCCCCGCTTCTCCGCGTAGTAGTTTTGTGCCAAGTTGCCCACGAGTGGAGCGGCCTTGTGGCCACAGAGATTGTCTGGGCTTAGGCCAGGTGGAGCCTGCACACAGCAGGAGGGAAGGGGTGAGAGCCAGCTCAGCCGTTTCTCATCCCTGCTCCCTGTTGCCTTTTCAGACACTGACAGGAGAAGAACTGAAGCTCCACGTGTCGTCCAGCAATGTCGTCCTCTTCAGCTTCAACCTCACAACGGGTACCATCATCCCGTCCCAGTCAGGATATGCCCTCCATGTATCAGACCTCCCAGCAGGCAACAGTACAGAGCACTCAGTAGGTTTAACCTCAGCAGAGGTCCAAAAAAAAAAACCCCACAAGTTTTCTACCACATCTCTTTTGAGACAGGGAACAACAGGGAGGCTTTCTGGTCAGGTGATATTATTTCTGTGCTGTAGGATGCCAAGGGGATCAATGACACGATGATTGTGGAGTGGGACATCATAGCTTTCAATGGCATCATTCACGCGATTGCCGA